TGAGCGGAAATACGTGACACAAGCTTATAAAAACATCCTGAACGAAAACACATTGCAAAATGAAGACTGCATTCCACATCGCAACAACATCCAACGAAAGAAGATCATCAAGAATAAGAGGAAGCCTTCCAAGGTTTCCAACGAGTTCAGTTCGTAATAAAAGTAGATGGCAGCTCAATCGCCGTCCTTCATAGACCCCCTCACCCCCCGCTAATTTCGCGCTAAACCCTCAACTGCCCAACCAACGACTTCCCGTAATTAAACCTACCACCAAACTCAGTCTTCACCACTACTGTGCGGAACAACAACTATGAGTTCCGCACGCCGCCGATTACCACGAAAACGAAAGATACTCACTTCGACTAAGGTTCAGTTAACCACTTGTGCCCCTGAAACAGCACTGCTACATACATGACGTCAGAATGGAAATACCGTGCAAAAAACGGCAGTGAGGATCGACCATCTACGGCACAACTGCTACACGCTAACGGGAAGACGACAACCTGCCGGATGAGTGCTCCGAACAACCCCGGGGAAGAAAGCACATTGTGCTTGACGACGACCAAACAAACTTCCGGACGGCAGCACTCTGGGAGGGCTTCAGTGCCGTGTTCTCTGAGCACCTACAGTGGATACGGGAGGGCGTACCTCCCTATCGTTCCTGGCGCATCATCTCTTCGGTGCCTCCCCACTTCAGTGTGCTCCGATATCTCGCCGCATCACGACCGTCTTCGACTCTCCACTCCCACAACCACCCATCCTCACTGCGCACCCATCCTCTCCGCCAACGCATCCCGCAAAATGAGCGTGTCCCCGATCAACGACTCCATGCAAACAGGACGCAGCGGCGCATGCATGCCCAGATCCACCCTGCGTCAGACGCCATCCGGACCCACCTCCCACAACAGGTTGTCGTCGAAGGGAATGCCTGCGTCGATCAGTATGTTGTGGAGGATGCACACCGCGATGAACTCTTGCGGCAACGTGTCCATGTTGCACTTGTGCGTGCGCAGGAATAACCTCCACATGCCCTTCAATCTTCCAAACGCCCTCTCTACCGCTCCCCTCGTTGTCTTTTGCTTGTTGTCGCACCGTGCCTCCGTGGGATGCTGCGCGAGACCTCCATACGAGACGAGAATCCATTCCGACTGGGGATAGCCGTTGTCGCCGAGCAAGTATCCATTTGTTCGGACACCGAACGGCAGCATGACATGCGGGCCAGTGAAAAGTTTTCCAGACTCCGCGCGCTCCCACAAACTGGACAAATGTAACATCCTCATGTCATGCACGCTGCCAGGGTAACCGACGAAGACGTCCAGCACACGCAAATTCATGTCGACGACAACCTGCGCCTGGACAGAGAATCGCCTCTTCCGATCACAGTAGTCCTCCCCGTTCGCGTTGGCGGGTTTGTCCACGTAGATGTGGGTGCAGTCGATGCACCCGTGGCAATTTGGAAATCCCTTGTCTGCAAACGCGCGCAACACGACCGCCTTCTGCAAGCCAGTGGGCCACAAAATCTTGTCTGGTTACGCAGCAAGCAAGGCAGCGGTAATGTCTCGGACCGCCGTGCTGCCAGAAGCCCTCTCGATGCCCAAGCTGCACGTTCCGCTGTCGTAGGTCTCACCCGACGCCCACCTATAGAGAGCGTACGCCACGATGTGATCTGGTTGCAAAGGCACTCTGTAAAACGTCACACGCCATTGCAGGTATGGAGAAAGCGTTTCCGCTATTTCGCGGAATACACGTGGCGACATTCGGAGCTTGTCTCTGAAGTAGTCGTCGGTGGCGTCGTCGCTTTGGCGCAGGTCCTCCCATGTTCCTCCCGTCCGCTGCTTCATCCACCATCTTGGAGTCACCCTCGGAAACGCGCCGCACCCCAACGCGTAGCACACCTGGAGGACGGCGTCCGAAAGTGCTCCCAGGTCCAAGCCTTCACCGCTGCTCGCCAGTGCTGTCACCTTCCGTCGCACGCGAGCAGCTGCTTTGATCTTCCCCGCGGTTCTCTCCACTTGACAACGATAGAGGACGACATTCACCGCCGCAGCAATAGCCGTCCTCTCATCTGTCGTTAAAGCACGACCCCTGACAATGCCATCAATAACCATCCCGGACGCCTCTTCCATCGACGACACCGGAACCCACCGCAACCGCCAAAACTCCGCAAACACCGCCACGCGGAACGACGATATCCCGCCTCCGTGAAGAAACGTGGACGCCACCACTGCGAACGGCGACAAGCTACGGCGATGGCGACCTTGAACGCCGACAACGTATGGTCGTCCACCGGAAGGCATGCGCACACTGTACAGTCGAAGGTGATCAAACTGACGTCTCGTATGTACACGCCAACGGCC